CTTGTATTTTCAAATAAACCTGTTGGACTATAACCTGGTGTCATGTGATTTTTTTGACCTTGTCTACCCCAGTCCAACACTGGTACCTCCACGTTTTGCCCAGAAGGCAAATAGCACTGGGAAGGCCTCACAGAAGTGTGGAATTGCTTCCTGGTGAACATGCACTGTGGCCTTGGTTCCTCTGATAATCCCTGGATCTTACTCAAAGACCTCCAGATATTTAATTAAGACTTTATTCAGGCAGCCAATCTAGGTGAATCTCTCGCAACCAGTTTTGCCCCATCTAGCTTGGGCTCAAACCTTTTACTACAATTAGTGGTAACTAAACCAGCTGTTGTTTCTCAGAGATCGGAACTGAAGTTGTACCCTTAATCTGTAAAGATTCCCCGGTGTAGGGCCTCACCCTAGCTGAGGCCTTGAGCAAATTTAAGGGCTCGAATCCAGAGCAAATTTCCCACCCACCTTCCTGCAAAAGTGCTATCCCCTATTCCCAATTCCTTCGCCTCCGCCGCATCTGCTCACAGGATGAGGCATTCCACTCCCGTACATCTCAGTTGTCCTCGTTTTTCAAGGACCGTAACTTCCCCTCCTCGGTGGTCGAGAACGCCCTCAACCGTGTCTCCCACATCTCCCGCACCTCATCCCTCACACCCCGTCCACGCGATAAGAACCAAAAAAGAATCCCCCTCGTCCTCACGTACCACCCCACCAACCTCCGGATCCAACGCGTCATCCTCCGACACTTCCGCCATCTGCAATCCGACCCCACCACCAAAGACATCTTTCCCTCCCCACCCTTATCTGCTTTCCGGAGGGACAACTCTCTCTGTGACTCCCTTGTCCGCTCCACACTCCCCTCCAGCTCCACCACACCCGGCACTTTTCCCTGCAACCGCAGGAAGTGCTACACCTGCCCCCATGCCTCCTCCCTCACCCCCATCTCAGGCCCCAAGAAGACTTTCCACATCAAGCAGATGTTCACCTGCACATCTGCCAATGTGGTATACTGCATCCGCTGTACCCGTTGTGGCTTCCTCTACATCGGGGAAACCAAGCGGAGACTCGGGGACCGCTTTGCAGAACACCTACGCTCGGTTCGCAATAAACAACTGCACCTCCCAGTCGCGAACCATTTCAACTCCCCCTCCCATTCCTCAGACGACATGTCCATCCTGGGCCTCCTGCAGTGCCACAACGATGCCACCCGAAGGTTGCAGGAACAGCAACCCATATTCCGCTTGGGAACCCTGCAGCCCAATGGTATCAATGTGGATTTCACAAGTTTCAAAATCTCCCCTCCCCCTACCGCATCCCAAAACCAGTCCAGCTCGTCCCTGCCTCCATAACCTGTTCTTCCTCCCACCTATCCCCTCCTCCCACCTCAAGCCGCACCTCCATCTCCTACCGACCAACCTCATCCCGCCCCCTTGACCTGTCCGTCCTCCCTGGACTGACCTATCCCCTTCCTAACTCTCTACCTACACTCACCTTTACTGACTCCATCCCCACCTCTTCGACCTGTTTGTTTCCTCTCCACCTATCCTCTCCTCTATCCCTCTTCTATCCGCCTCCCACTCTCTCCCTATTTATTTCAGAACCCCCTTCCCCTCCCCCTTTTCTGATGAAGGGTCTAGGCCCGAAACATCAGCCTCTCTGCTCCTATGATGCTGCTTGACCTGCTGTGTTCATCCAGCCCTGCACCTTGTTGTCTCAGATTCTCCAGCATCTGCAGTTCCTACTATCTTTGTTAAAAACTGGTTCTGCAATCACTGGTTCACCCGTGCCAGTATCAACCTCCACTAGAATCAAGTGACCATTTAATCAGATGTTTATTTTGATTGGTTCTGATTTGGATGTTGCTAAGCAATTTAACTCTTTCAAACCTGATGTAGGTGGACTTTCCAGGGTATGCACTCTCTTGAATACTGGCCTGTAAGTTATCTTACTCAATATAGGTCTAGTAGAACTTTTGCTGTCTCAAATATTGCGATATTTTGGGGTTTTGCTGTGGGTTGACCGAGAGTGCCTCTGTTCAGGATATTTCCTGAGTGATGCTGTGCAATCACCTGCACTCAAGTAGTGTTCCCCAAGCTCATTCAGACTGGCGAGGGTGTCTGCTTCCAGTAGCATTCCTTGCAACTCATACGCTCCATGCCCCAGTATCCAATGATAAAGCCAGTTGTCGTACCTGTTTAAAATCCAATTGAGCTTCAGCCAGTATTGTTTTTGCATAGTTCCTTCATTAATCCCACATACTTAAACAGTCTCCAAACATCTCACTAGGGGTTAAACCAAAGTTACATGTTTCTGCCAGTCATCTTAACCTAGTCAAAAAATCTCCTGGTTCTGGAATTGACAAGTAAAAAATGATAGTGTCTCAGAATGAGAGGAGGCTTGGGGTCACAATATTTCTTAACCATGTCTGTCAGTTCTCGAAAGGTTTTAATATCTGGTCCCACAGGGAAAGTTAGGCTCCCAATAACCAAAAGGTTACACAGGCTGTCAGGAGCATTACTCATTGCTTTTCATCTGCCACAATGTCGTTTGTCCACAAAAAATAACACATTCTTTCCTCAAACTGGGCCTCGTCTTCGACTGCAGGGTCAAACAAGTCAAGCTTCCCAAACAAAGGCATGATGTAAGAAACGCTTACCCCAACTTAAAGACAACTGTTGTGAGCGGGTTTCTTTAGGAATGTGTTTTACTCTCATCACCCCTGAAATAACTCCGCAGAGGCTGGTATTCTGTCACCAAATCACCCCTTTATGTACACCTGAAGAGTCCTTAATTTTAGTACTTCTTCATCAGAGTCAGCTACCAAAGTGGCAGTATCCCTAACACCCCTTTTTTTTCTGCCAGCCAGGGCACCCTGATTTGACCAAATTAACAGCCCCAATCAGGGAGCTCATATTCTATGACATCCAGCTGGCTGACCTCGTTAGAATCACTACACCCCACTTCCTCAACACCACCTGTCCTTCCACCTATCTTTGTGTTATCTGCCAACTTAGCAGCAATGCTTTCAGCTCTTTTGTCCAAATTGTTAATGTATAATATGGATAGCTGTGGTCCTAACACTGACCCCTATAGAATTCCACCAGTCATTGGCTGCTATCTGCAAAAGACCCCTTTACCCCCACTCTCTGCCTTTTGCCAGTCAACCAATCCTCTATCCATGCCATTACCTTGCCCCTTAACACCATGGGCTCTTGACTTATTTACCAGCCTCCTGTGTGGCACCTTGTCAAAGGCCTTCTGGAAATCCACTGGCTCTCCATTGTCTAACTTGCTTTTTACCTTAGAATTCTGACAGATTTATCAGGCATGACCTGCCTTTGGTGAAACCATGCTGGCTCAGCCCCGTTTTACCATGCACTTGCAAGTACTCCACAGTCTCATCCTTAAAAATGGACTCTTAAAATCTTACCAACAACCGAGGTCAGGTTAACCAGCCATTTTCCAGTGCTCTCTGATTCCAGTGATTCCTGAAAGAGCACCAGCAGTGACTGCACAATCTCCTCAGCTAGCTCCTTCAGAATCCTGGGGTGACTTATCCACCTTCAGAGTTTTCAGCGTCCCCAGCACCTTAGTGATGGATACTACACTTACCTCTGCCCCCTGACTCTTTGTTGACATTCCAGTGTGCTACTGGTGTCTTTCACCATGAAGACTGATTCAGAATATCTATTCAGTTCCTCCACCATTTCTTTCTTTCCTACTATTACTTGTAGATGTAATGCCCCAGCCAAGCTGTTCCAGCACAGTAACAACACTGGCATCTACCCGACAATGTGGAAAGTTGTCCTGTGCACAAAAAGCAAGTCAAATCCAACCTGAGACAACAAGGTGCAGAGCTGGATGAACACAGCAGGCCAAGCAGCATCATAGGAGCAGGAAGGCTGACGTTTTGGGCCTAGACCCTTCTTCAGAAATGGGGGAGGGGAAGGGGGTTCTGAAATAAATAGGGAGAGAGCGGGAGGCGGATAGAAGATGGATAGAGAGAAGATAGGTGGAGAGGAAACAGACAGGTCAAAGAGGCGGGGATGGAGCCAGTAAAGGTGAGTGTAGGTGGGGAGCTAGGGAGGGGATAGGTCAGTCCAGGGAGACGGACAGGTCAAAGGGGCGGGATGAGGTTAGTAGGTAGGAGATGGGGGTGCGGCTTGAGGTGCGAGGAGGGGATAGGTGGGAGGAATGGGAGGGGGAGTTTACGACATGTCCATCCTGGGCCTCCTGCAGTGCCACAACGACGCCACCCAAACGTTGCAGGAACAGCAACTCATATTCTGCCCAATGGTATCAATGTGGACTTCACAAGCTTCAAAATCTCCCCTCGCCCCACCGCATCCCTAAACCAGTCCAGCTCGTCCCCGCCTCCCTAACCTGTCATTCCTCCCACCTATCCCCTCCTCTCACCTCAAGCCGCACCCCCATCTCCTACCTACTAACCTCATCCCGCCCCTTTGACCTGTCCGTCTCCCTGGACTGACCTATCCCCTCCCTAGCTCCCCACCTACACTCACCTTTACTGGCTCCATCCCCGCCTCTTCGACCTGTCTGTTTCCTCTCCACCTATCTTCTCTATCCATCTTCTATCCGCCTCCCCCTCTCTCCCTATTTATTTCAGAACCCCCTTCCCCTCCCCCATTTCTGATGAAGGGTCTAGGCCTGAAACATCAGCCTTCCTGCTCATATGATGCTGCTTGGCCTGCCATTGCTACTAAGTAGTAGCTGCTCAGCAATAACCTGCTCAGTGACACCCAGTTTAGGTTCTGCCAGGGCCATTCATCTGCTGACCTCATTATAGCCCTGGTTCAAACATGGACAAAGGAGCTAAATTCCAGAAGTGAGGTGAGAGTGACAGCCCTTAACATCAAGTCTACGTTCTACCAAGTGTGGCATTAAGGCTATAAAGGTCCCACAGAAGCATGTATTTTTGCTATCTGTTTAGGGCTTGTCCCAAGTGCCTGCTTGTCGCTAAAACAGAAATTGAGGGTTTTGCAAATGGGCAATATTGCAAATGTTCCACTAAACTTATTTCATGTCCCCGGGTTTGCACCATCTATTTCTGATTTGTAATACAAGACACCCAGGGTTTGCATCATGATTGAACCTGCTGTTTAAGGCCAAAATAATTCACTCATATCCCAAGTGTAACTACGATTCGAGAGTAAGTTTCACTTTCGTTTCCAGTTTGTATTTTAATTCGGTTTACAGAAACTCGGAAAACAAACGAGTTGATTCATTTCTTGTCTTCCCTTCTGTAAAGCTGCAATACTTGTTCAAACTTTGAACCCCGCCCCCTTGTTTCATTTACTCTGTTTCACTGCGAGGCCGGTGTTGTTCATTTCAGTTGGTGGTAATTCAAAAAAAAAACAAAAAGCATCGAAATGCCCAAGAAATTTCGCCTGAGAGATTTGCGTGAGGTGGGGCTGAAGTTTATGGGATTCCTAAAGGATACGAAGCAAGAAGAAGTGACCGACTTGGAGGCCATTAAAAATATTTACAATTCCCAATTCCGTGGCAGGTAACATGTCGTTTATTCTGTATCAATGAATCCCAGCGCGGGTCGGGCGGAATTGCTACTTTGCCGGCGGTGTCTATCCAAAATATTGCCACTTTTTAAAAAGACATGTTAGGGGTTTCTTCACTTGAGTGCACAAGGTGCTCACACCTGAAATGTCTTGATTGTTAGACGGTGCTGGACAGCGTGGCTTGGAGCTTACAGCAACATTAGGAATCCTTTCAAGAGTTAAAGGGATTAGTTTCAGCTCGGGAGGGAGGATGGGTGGGGATAGCTCGATTGGCTGTTACTGTATGAGAAGTATTTTGGTGGTGGAGTTTGTGGAGCTTTGCTTCTTTGTTTCTTGGTTGATGTTGTGGCGGATGCTTGAAATTGGCTGTTGTTGATTGAGACCTGAATTTACTAATGGAAATGGCCACCACCTTCAAGGAAGGATGTGGAAATAATCAAACAAATTAATTGTCCCTTTTTTCAAATGTCCCCCAACCTCATCTGCTCCCCATCACATCCTTGCCTGACCTAACCCAGGCCACCCGTCCCCCCATTTTCTTCCTCACCATTCTCATTTTATTTCCCCCAACATATCCCTCACTGCTTGGCCTGCTGTGTTCATCCAGCCCTGCACCTTGTTGTCTCGGATATCCCTCACTCTATTCCCCCCAGTTCCCTCAATCCACTCCTCCCACCTTACCCACTGCTCCTCATGCCAGACAGACATTTTGCTTCTTCACCCTGCATGCCAACTTGTACCCAGACAAACAAATAAGTATAAGTTGTAAATGACACTCCCTAGTTTGACTTGTATACCTCAAAATGGAGTTTCAGCATGTTTGTTTACAAATATAACTTTTTTGCTTTTTTTTATTTGTCCTCTGGGTAAAGTTCCATAGAAGCATAGAAAATTGAAAGGAGTGGGCCATTCAATCAGTCAGGTCTGCTCTGCCATTTGATATGATCATTCAACTCAATACCCTGTTCCCACTTTCTCTCCATACCTTTTGATCCCGTTAGCCCTAAAACATATGTCTAGTTCATTCTTGGTTCCACTTAACTGGAGATAATATCCTTCCCCAATAATGCATTAATTATTCAGTTCCCATTCCTGGTCACTGTGCAGCCACGTCTCCTTAATCCCAACTGTGTCATACCTGTTTGTATCTATCTGTGTGACTAATTCATCTACTTTATCGTGAATGCTGTGTGCGTAATGACACATTGTCTTAAGACTTGGCTTTGTAATATTCTACACCCATTCGCCTTATTTGACACTGCGGTCCTGTATGATTCATGCCCTTGAATTCTCTGCCAATCACTTTTATTATTTCCTATTTTGTTTGTTTAACCGTTTATACAACATTAAACAATATTCACTGGATTCGAAACCAAAGGCAAATTCTTATTCTTTGTAGAGACTTAGTGGGCCAAGTGGAACAGAGCATGAGAGTAGGCCAGTCAGCCCTTTGACCCTGCTCTGCAATTCAATAAGGTCACATCTGATCTAGTTATGGCCTCAGCTCCGCTTTCCTACCTGCCCTCCCCATTACCCTTGACTTCCTTGTCTATCAAAAATCTATCTATCTCAGCCTTGAATTAATTTAAATACTCACCCTCCACTACCTTCTTGGGAAGAGAATTCCACACTCTGAGAGGGGCAATAAATTCTTCTAGTCTCTTCCTTAAAAACAAGACCCCTGATTCTTAACAAAAACCAAATTACTACAGATGCTGGAAGTCTGAAATTATAAACAGAAACTGCTGGAGAAACTCAGGCAGGTCTGGCAGCATATGTGGAGAGAAAGCAGAGTCAGTGTTTCAAGACTGATGACTCGTTTGTTCTTCAAAACAGATACTGGAATCAAAACAACAAGGTGCAGAGCTGGATGAACACAGCAGGCCAAGCAGCATCATAGGAGCAGATGCTGCTTGGCC